ATCCAGGAATACTAGAATCGTGGGTCGCTTATACGTATGGCGTTGTTCTAGCACCTGACGCAGTGTGAAGATTTGGTCAACGCAACTTCTACCACGCCGGAATCCCGCTTGCTGCTCTCGAGTCAGTATCTCACGAGCTACCGTAATGCGACGAAGCACAATTGACGCCAACAGTCTCGTTACAACCGGGGTCAAGCTGATCCCCCTGTGGTTACCACACTCACACGCGCCCCTTTTTTGAAAACGGGCACTGTCACCGATTCTCCCCAGTTGTCTGGGACAGACTCCTTTTCCCAAATGCAAGCAAACAGATCGGACAAGCGCTGACTTAGGACTTCACCCCGGTCTTTCAACAGTGTGGGTGGAAGGTCATCCGGACAAGGAGCTCGGTGGCGCTTGAGGGAACATATACATTGGTAAACCTCCGAGGCCGTAGGTGGTTCCACGTTCACCGTCCAGGGTTCTACTTCACCTGTGGGCTGCAGATGAGTGCCGGTGGTAGCCAACAAGACATTAGTTGTTCCAAGTATTCAGCCCACCGGTCAAGGCGTTCCTCCATATTCGAGATGGTCGTTCCATTCTGATGTTTGATGCTTTCACTCACAGGTGGTTTCCGGGGACCGGTCGCACGGATCAACTGAAATAATCTTCGGGCATTGCCTGCTTTCTGAGCCCCTTCCATTTCTTTGGCTTTCTGTGTCCACCATACTTCATGGTCGGATCGCAAACTCACTTTCACCTGACGTCTGATGGCTCTTCGCATCGGGTTATGTTCGGGAACTAAACCCAAACTATGAAGTCTCAAAGGGGAAAAACGGCATTGATCTCGCCTCACTACTTACAAGGAGGTTTTATGTAAGACTGACAGATACTCAGGGCTTGGGTCTATCTAGCTATACCCAAAAAAAACGAAACTGGTCGTGGACTGTTGAATAGTTCTTAGTAATTTTGCAAATGAGAAGCAGTTATACTGGAACGTCGTGAATATCGTATGAACTGGGAATCCAGACTGTCTTGTGCAGAACATTCAGTTGAAGAACAACATCATAAACACCGTTGAGTCCCTCGTCAAAACCTAATTAATGTACAACTGAATTCATCTCATAAAATATCTTTTAAAAGCAATCGATTACCTGTCACAGACCCTATTAGCACCTTCAATTAAAAGTAACCAACCATCAAATTCTAATGGTTTCTGCTTAAACGTTTGTATTCAAAGAGGACATTTGGGTATGATTTACACCGTGTAGGTTTTAAAAAAAGGGCGACGTGCAAAATTGGCGAGTGCGTTGCTAAGCGGTCGTTCAAGCCTCGGAAAACTGAAAGTTCATTCTCCGTGACCGATTGTCGAGTTTTCCATGACGGGAGTAACGTAAAATCGAAAAGCTCTCAATTTCTCTCACATTTAGACAAGATGTGTGGGAACATATTGGCCAAAAATTGGAAGTAAATGTTTATACGTGATACACTACTTCCAAGTTCTTCGACATCCCACGACCGATTTCTCCCTTCTAGGCTCTCATAAATTAGGTAGAGTCACTGAGTTTCCGTCAATTTTGTGCTATACTTGAAACGAAATTGCACGGAATTCGAAAACGTATTTAGCTTTGTGAAAGACTCACCTGGCACCCAGCTAAATCTCCCGTTTATCATGAGCCCCAAGAAGGGCGAAACCATCATGGGCTGCTGAATAATTGTAAGCAGACTTATTAGTAGTGTATTACGTCTATACGTGTATCGCGGAATCTCGAATGTCGTACCATCTGAAACATGAGGCGGCCTGATGCAGTACATTCAGTTGCCTGGAAACATCACAAACGACAGGTTCAGCTGGGTTCCAGGTGAGTCTCTCGAAAAACCAAATTAGTTTGCAAATAAATGTATATGGAAAAATAAGTGTTGTTTTCTTCCACTTATTCAGTTTTCTTCTTCTAAGAGTCGCTTTATCATGTCTTAGATTCTTAAAACGAAAGGCCGCGTAACAGCTAGAAGAAATAAACACCTGATTCACGGATATTATGCCATAAGAGGACCGCATCAATTTAACTCGTCTAAGCAGACTTTTTCCAATACAACCCCCTGAGAGTTCAATTTCAACGGTGATTTTCATGCTAACTTACTCTGGGGAGCTCGCGACCCTAAACCGCCTGGCCACGATTGGCTGATCAGCATTGTGATCAACTCACAGTTAGATAGCTTCACTCATCTTCCAATCACGGAAAACATATCACGTGATCATGTATTGACTAACGCTTCGGGTGATGACTTCTCAGATGAAAGTTTTGCTCGTAATGCAAACTATTCTTCCTTCTGAGCCACTTTTGGGGTGATTCGAGAATTTTCAATGAAGTTTTCATCTCTTACGTTAATCAAATCTATGTTGGAGAGCAAAGAAACACTGTGCAGTTGTTGGGCAGATGTCACCAGAATTCAGGGAAATTCGAATCCGTCATCATCAGCAAGGACGAAAGAGGCATAAAATAACAGTTTGCTTGCTCGATTGAACATTAAAACAGCTTTTCGTTTCTTTCTGTTGACCAGTCTACAGTTCACCAGCCGTTTGACATTAACTCCGGATTGAAAAGCACGTCAGACTTGCTGATTTTATAGAATATAAATTCTCCAATTCTGATTACTGATTAGGTAATTAAGCGTGTATACATTCTGTTGTTTACAAACTAGCGACCCGAACTGAACAGCTTTCAGGAACATGGTAACTAGAAATGACAGTCATAAGTAGGAACAAATCTGTGGAAATTCCGTCGAGAATGGTTCAGCTATATATCATATATCATACGCATTATATGGCTGGCTGAATTCCGCAGCGATCCTTAAAAAACGTTAACGTTAAAGAGAATGTATCAAATTCAGTCACCGATACATGGAAATCTTTGGAAATTTTCAAGATACTGAAATATAGTTAGTAGTCTTTGAATGCTGGTGCAATCTTGGAGGATAGTAGTTAGAAGGAAAATTTTCAACCAAAAATTTGCAAACCTGTATTTCATCTTCACCAATGCAGTTCTTCTGATGACATAGAATATAACAGCATCCCACGATTTCGACTACCACCCGGTAGGCTAGTACACAAACTGTAATAGGTGAAACTGGGAGGATTGACTGCCTACAATCATTATGGCTGAACCGGAAACCGGACGGAAAAACATGGTCGACAAAAAACAAGAGGAACAACATCAGGATCACTGTAACCACTGCAAAAAATTCTGTTTTGAACAGACTGGAAGAAAACTCCGAGCCAGAAAAACAGCGATTTGTTTGGTGGAAGAATTCATTCATTATACTCCAAATTAAAAGATCGAGAAATCTACCAAATCAACTTAGAAGACGGTAAATTCTTGGTGCGTCGAGAAGTAAAACAAGTAAAGGGACTTTTAGAAGAACGATTTTGTACAACAAATCAACTGCACACTGAGCCCGAGTTATGCCATTTTTCTGGAAAGGAGAATCCTCTCTACCAAAAAACACAAGTTTAGTGGAGGAGATCAACAGACAGGCAGTGTGAAACACGAACACAAGAAGGGTCTGTGTCAGCAACTGCCTAGTTAAGCATGCCAGTTCTATGATAACACAGACGTCGGTCAAGCTAACCGCAAGCTAACGGAGCAATAAATACATCACTTCGGTCACATAGTAAATCACAGCTGAAGGTGAACCACAAGTAGATCCACACGCTCACCAACAGTCGACTCACCCACAAACCCCGTTGCACCGCCCTGATGATGTCATCTCGGATTCTAACTAAACGGTTGCAAGCAAGTTATTTAGCTGGCGAAGTAAAATAATGACTGCTGGTGTACACAACGACGTTGCCTCCGTACACACCTCCATCATCTCACTTTGACTAAGCCAGGCAATCTAATATGCTGTGCATAGACTGTGGTGCAAGGTCACGTGGTTCTCATTCGGCTTCAGTCTACAGCGCACCTAAGAAATTGGGACCTACAAGGCGGAATAAGACATCCAGAGTGCAAATTTACTGTGAATATTGCTCTAACCGTAACCGTGCCATAAAGCTGAGCCCCAGAAATACGGTTCACATTCTACAGCTATTTTAGGGTACTCCTTTGCCTACTAAAAGCGAAGTGGGCATGACTCACCAGAGTTGTTCTTGTCTTTCAAGGGCAAATACATTCAAGTTTTGAGCACAGGGTTTAATCACAGAGAATCTGTAAAAGCTGTAATGGTCACGACAGATCCATAGGTAATTGTCGTGTGCATCGAGCTCGGTTCATCCATTTTAACGTCAAGGTCACAGAGTAGTCTACATCAAATACCCGCCGGTGGTATGCACACCTATTTAGATGCCGAACTCATGAATGTTGTAAACTGCGGTCCCAATGATTCCTCTGCATTTCCTCCATAAACCCCGTAACAGATCTCACTTTTCAATAGAGGCGGAGTGGATCTACAAAAACATACTACTCTCACGCCTCATCAGTAGTATCTACCGTTACACTGCCATTTTAACTCTTCACTCCGCTTTTAATATGCCTTTGAAAAAGTTTGCCACGAAAACGTACTCATTGGCAGACCAGTTCTGATTCTTCAGAGAGGACGTCAAGTTCTTACTCAAAAGCTGTATGAAATATGGGATACTACCGTTATTGTGACGCTTAGGTGCTCCGGGGTCAGAGATGGCAAATCTTGTACTTAGTCCACTGTCAAATTGTGTTGTCCAAAAAAAGCGTGTTTTGTATTCATGAGGACACAAAGAGAACGCTCGCATTGGTCTAGCCAGCGAAGTATCTGTTGCAATGGCTGTCGGAATAAAGGATCAGGAATAAGTTGATATCCTCTACTGAATTACATCGAAACTAGTCAGCCGAGTGACCTAGACATTTCTACTGGTTAGGTGAGCCAGGGTTACTCTTATAACATTACAAAATCTACCGCCACGTCTTTGACGTTCTACCTTTTGTGAAAAGGCATTGAGGTTTTGTCGATCCTTACCTCTGTACGGTCGCTCTGAAAGTTTATTGCTTTTGCAAAGTGTCTCGATTTAGTGAAACACACTCATTTGTAAACAAATTTGGCTTTACGAGAAACTCACCCGAAACCCAGCTGAATCGCTCGTTTGTGATGTCTCCAGGCAACTAAATGTACTGTTCCCAGGCCTGTTTCTGTTGTTCCGATATTCGATGTACCGCGATACGTGTATATACACAGTACACTACTCATAAGGGTTTGCGATGTTTCCAGGCAACTAAATGTACTGCCCCCAGGCCTGTTTCTGTTGTTCCGACATTCGATGTACGGCGATACGTGTATATACACAGTACACTACTCATAAGGTTACTGAGAATCCTTGGACAACCCATGACCGGTTTCGCCCTTTTCGGGGCTCATCAGGTAGCGCAGTTCCACGTTTCCGTCAACCTAATGTTTTACTTGAAACTGAATTGCACGAAATTAGCGAAATACACTCATTTGCAAACAAATTTGATTTTTGCGAAAGACCCACCTGGAACACTGATGAATCTCTCGCTTGAGATGATTTCAGACCTCGATTTAGATTAAAAAAATGTCACATTGCTGCATTTAAAGCGCATTTCCCCCCTAATCTCTCTTAGGTTGTTTGTTACTTCCAATTTGGGCGGTGTAGTTCATTTTGCCGTGACCTTTTACCGTAACTAATTGAGTGTGAAACAATTACCAAGGTCCCTTTAAAATGTTACCACTGAAGCCCAAATCGAAAGCTATTAGAACATATCGGCGCCGTCGTTGGCAACTCAAGCATCCCTACACATGAACGCTCACCCAAAAGCCCAGTTTCATCCCACACGCATTTTTATGAGTCATAATTGCCTGAGACTCAGTAAACGAACTCCCATTATCTTCATAAAAGAAACTACTCACAAGGTTGCTGAAATTCTTCGATAACCCACGACCGGTTTCGCCCTCCGCTTGGGGCTCATCAGGTAGGCGCAGTCCCAGAGTTTCCGCCAACCTTATGTTCTACTTGAACCCAAATCGGACTGTTTTCGAAAAACACACTCATTTGCAAGTCAATTTGGTTTTCACAAGAGACTCAACTGAATCTGTCGTTTATGATAATTTTCAACTGAATGTACCGCACACAGGCCGCCTCATGTTTCATTTGGCACGATATTCGAGATATCGCAGTATATTTTCATAAAGGAAACTACTCCGGGGTTGCTGAAAACTCTTCGACAACCCAAGACCGGTTTCATCCTTCTTGGGGCGCATCAGGTAGGCGCAGTCCCCGCGTTTCCGTCAACCGTATGTTCTACCTGAACCAGCTGAATCTCTCGTTTGTAATACTCAGAATTCAATAATAATAATAATAAATAATTATAATTGTCCAGCTGTAGCACCCCTTCGGTGCCTAGCTGCCATGCCACACGAAGGAGGCTCGATGGCTGGGATACCGCCAGGTTGCCCAAGCCTAGACAGAGGAAGACTAGTGACAGAGATCGGGTTCGAACTACGGACCTTCCGGTCAGTAAATTCGCGCTCTGACCACTTGGTCCATTCAATAACACTGAAGCCCCTCCCTGTAGTGGACCATTGCACGGTGATATAGCGTCTTCAGTAATTACATCTGACTAATCCATTCCCATAATGAGTAAAGAGGTGAATAGTTACATTTAATTGTCCCACGCGTGCGAATTTGAAACCGCAGCTCTCCACTTAGTTCTGTGGTGCTTATCGAAGGGCAGCCTTTCGGTGTTCGCATAAGCTAGTCTTGTGAGTACCTGATCTCAGCAGAAGTGACTTTTTGGATGGCTTTGTGAACAATGTGCCACTGAAGGTCAGGATTTGGTGGAAATGAAAGATGGCGGTGCACACCAGAATTAGTGAGCATAACATGAGGATAGATGAGCCACCAAGAAATGCGCAGTCCACGTTCGTGTGAAGGGTGCTCACCAGTCTGCATTACATAACACTTGCCGAAAATCGATATTAGGTTCCATCAATAAATCTCTGAATACTTCAGTGGCAAAAGGTGCTGTTGGTGCACCAATCTCTACACAAGACGTATTTTGCTACGCAAGGCCAGTAAATCAAAGGGCCACAACTACATTCACGTCTCAGTATGGAAACAAACGGCTTTGCGGTTCAAATAGATTGGAAATTATATTTTGATGTCTTGTTCTAATCGAAGTTTCAAGTATCTTGTGATGAACATGACTGATGCTCTATTCATTGCTCTATTCATTATTCTCTTGTTTTAATATTCCATATGCTGTACATATTCGCCAATTCGAATACGTACGTGCTGGTTGTCACTCTTCGCTGATTTCTGGATTTCTAGTTTGTCGGGTTATACCGATATACGTACGAAACTTAATTCCCACATTTTGGCGTCGCGATTGGTACAATTCATCATGCCTGCCGAAATGGAACCATTAGATGTTGATTCAACTGCGGGTGGCGTAGAGGAATATTTGGAACGATTCGACATATGGTGCCTCA